ATAATGTGCAATATATAAATGCATCTTTTATAGTAAAATATGCATCTTCTGGATTCTTCTGGTATATTTGATACATTGTTGGTATATGTTCATGTTGGTATCTTCTTCCTAACATCATGACCCTCTCTATGCATCCTTTTACATCATCAATCAAACAGAGTTCCAACGAACGTGCATGTGTGTAGCACGCCTACTGAACATTTGCTGACAGGTTTTCGTCAACACATGGTGGAATGTGGAGGAATCCTCCAAAAAGCCAGTCATGGTCCGTGCTTCCTGGTCCACCACCGCCGCCGCCGTGGGGGATCCAAACCCCAGATCCCACTCTCCCTGGTACCGGTCCTTTGGTCTTTTTCCGCGTGGACCGATGGACCGAGGGATGGTGGACCGTCGGCCAAGAGCTGCGACGTAGCCATCGCGACTGACAAGAAGACGGATGGCTATCTTGGGTCTATCCTGGCCAGACACTAGGTGAAGGAGGATGCTTCAGTTGCAGGGCCTTTCTGTTCAACAAGCTGAGTGATACACGTTTCCTTGTTGACATGACTTCCTGTTGCAGCTCCGATGGAGCGGCAGAGACGTTTCCACCGAGGCGTCCCACGCGCTTCGCGAGGCGTCCCGCGACCTTCTCCTGGTGACCGGTCTGGGCGGTCCAGCGGCCCGGACGAAGAGGGAAGGAGTCCGGGGAGAACGGAGCCGTCTGGTTCGGACAAGACAAGCTGGTTAGTGGATGTCCGAGTTCTGAAGAAGTCCACCCTTTTTGGCGAAGATATGACATGCAATGCAGAAAAATTGACATACACTTAACTTATATATAGTAGTGTATATACTTGTCTGGAGTGAAATCTTGACAAATCTGGCTTCCACGCTGAGGATCATCCTGTTCAACACAACGTCTGAAAAACGCAACGAAACAGCTCCACCTCCCGACAAACTCGACAAAAATGAGGTCGTTCTGGCTGGCCTCACACGCGCGGCTTCACGGGATCGACTGCGGCGTGGTCTTCGCCGCTTTTTCGCGAGCAAGCGGCGCCTTGAGGTCCAGCGCCGGTGGTGTCAAAGCGGCCACACTGGTGGCAGGTGAAGGCAGTCAAGACCTCGCCGTGGCACGAGGATCACCTCCCATGCCTGTGGGTCAGTCATAACGCGCCCGGAGAACGAAGTCGAGTGATCTCCCTGGTGGGTGGACCACATCAGGTCGTCGGTTCATGTTCATGTTCCAATACCATGCAGGGTGACCCAGTGCGAACCATGACCACATGTCACTGGTACCTGGTTGTTGGGCTGCTGTGACTTCTCCATTGAGTCCGGGGGACACCTTTGGATGGATCAACTGAGAATTCTCTGAGAATCTGCACCTTTCCGGATCGATTGTTGGGAGTGTCAGGCAGGAAGCCTTTCTCGCCTCGCTTCTCTGTCCGGGCGTTGTGTCTTCACTCAAAAGCTCCGAAGCCCCGGCGACGTCCCGAAGGAATGCTGAGTTTGCAGCTGCTCGCAAAGGATTGGACAAATGTCGATCGGGTTGCCATGCTGGTCTCATGGCACCGGTTCCGGCCACTACACATGCGGTAGTCAGGCTAGACCCGGTTCGGTCCGGTTTGGTCTTCTCAGAGGGTGGCCAGATCTGGAACATCCACATGAATCATTAAAGTTAGATTGTATTCAGGCATCTTTAGCACAGAGTGCATGGATTACCAATTAGTGACAATGGAGTGAGTCCAGACTTGCTGTATCGTGTCTCTTCACAATCACATGCCAAAGACTTTTGTGTTGAATATGAGCTGCTAAACAATCCAAACTCTTCCAAACTAATTACTTAGCTGCTTAGCTCTTTGTTCATTGATCTCCTCCATGCTTCACATCGATCGATGGATCGTCTTCTTCGGTCAATGATCAACAGCCATTGGGTTTTGGAACGTGAACGACTGCTACTCGCAAAGGCCATGTGGGCGTGGGGGGGGGGTGTGAGAAGACGGGTTTCCGTAAAGAGTGTCCCTTATAAAGCAATTCGGAATTCGCGTGTAAAGTGGGTCCGCGACTCGAGAGTCGTGCACCGGATCGGCCCACGGACCGGCGACCGGTCGTTCACTCGCGACGTGTCGTTCGGCGGCTGGTCGTTCGCGCCAGGCTGGTGACGGCTGACTGCCCGACCTTCCAAAGAAACCTGCCCCCCAATCGAAGACCCCCGCGCCCCCACTGACCCCTTTCAAGAGTATGGTTTTTTTCTGAGATCTTGCTCGGTGATCGGATCCCTGTGGCTCTGCGGCTCAGAGCGGAGGAGATCGATTGCGGCCCGAGCGCGAAAGCGCGTTAACCAGCTGCCATGCAGCTGCCATGCTGTGTGATCTTCACACAAAGATTCATTGAACCTCCCTACAAGTCTGCCAAGCAAGAAGAGCAGAAGAGCCGAGTCAGTTAACTGGTGGGTCACCCAATTCGTAGCGAGCAAGAGAAAGTAGAACACGGTAGCCTTCAGCCTTGTGACTCTATGTCGTACCACGTACCTCCGAGCCTCCGACCTCCGAGCGCATCATATGGGTCTGGCTCAAAACATGGGGTACCATCCAAACCTATCTCAAACCCCTGAGAGAGCCTCTGAGCCATAGCCATAGCCATGCCATAACCCATGCACAGATCAGCATCCATTGTTTGGCAAACGGCAAAAAACGAAAAGAGACGGTGAAACACCACTCCTCAGCTTTCCTCAGATGGCTGCACTTTCGCAAAGCCAGCACCCTGAGCCGGAAGTTTCGTGGGATGAGGGGAAACAAAGAAAGCCTGGGCTTTGTTTCGCCCCAAGAAATGCTAGGAAGACTGTTCCAAAGAAAGACTCTTAAAAGAAACGATTGTGCCAATTGTGGCAAAAAACTTCTGAGGAAAGTCTGCAATCTTCTAAAAGCCTAATTAATTGTAGGGAACCACATACCTTCTCAGAAGGTACGACTGTCAGTACGACCCTACAATCCAAACCTTACATCAGCCTTGTCTCCAATCACATTCTCAGAGGTTGTGTGGAATCCATAGGGATTCATGCAAAGGCAGTGAGTAAATAGGCTGCTCCATCGTTTGGGGCATTTTCGTTGGTTGCGACAATCCTTCATCTTCAATCCGTAAAAAACGGCGTCCAAGAAAGAGCGTCCAAGAAACGGCGTAAAAAAAACGGCAAAAAAACGGCGCACCAAGAATCTCCAGCGGCGTTGGCGTGGCTTCTTCGCACCCATGTTCACCACCTGGCTGCGGAGGACTGAGGAGATGGAAAGGATCGTTTTCTTCCCGGAGAGGATCGGTTTGGTCAGACCAGCTTGGCTTAGTTGCCCAGGTGTCAAAGAACAAGAGTCTTGTGAGTGGTCTTTGGGTTACCATCAAGGTACCATAGTTACCATCAAGATCCACAAGTTGACCCACATTTGAGTGTGCATGGATCAAAACGATCAAACCCCCTATGCCCTAGAAGTCCAGTTCGACTATACTTTGACCATCTTTGACCAACTGAAGAAAAGAACATTCCTTGACTCGGGTCAGGTTGTAAACACCATATGTAAAATAGTCTTCCACTGCCAGGCTTTAAACAGAGCTTGACCTGATCAGGCACCATGATACTGAACGTTGCCGATCTGAAAGAAGCTCGGCGGATTGCTACTCGGCTCACGCTCTTGTGACCCACAGATTTGGAGCAAAGGCCACATGATCCTTGCCCAAGCATCTATTTCTTCGCTATTTCAACCAGAAAAAGAACGACGTCGCCTCGTCTGGTGCCGACATGCGCATGGTCCTCACAGAAAAAGACACAACGCTCCGCAACATCTGTCTGGAAATGATGGCCAGGACCTTCCATACATGGGCTTGTATTTTGATAGGGGGGCCTCCCAACTGATGGGTTTTAGTCTATGTTCTTTCTTCCAGAGGGTCTTTGGAAGGTCTCCCTATTTTAATACACACCCACATTCATATGCCAGTAGTTCCATGTTGGGATGCTGGAACTGGATGATAGGAACTAGATAGGGGTACCCAATCTCCACTTAGTTGGGGACCAAACCCTAAACCCCTTTGGAACTCCTGTTGAGAAGTTCCGCTTTCAGATTCTTTTAAGCCTATGGGTGAATCATGGGGAAATCAACTGATTGGTGATCATATGGTCCCACAAATGTGGCCACGGGCTCGTCTTAAGTTAAGGGGACTCATGCGTCGGGTCATCGAGCAAGAGGTGAGGTTTTGCATGGGTTGACTTTGGCTTACGAATAGCTTTCGGATGAAAGGGCTCCGCCCAGGTGCCCTAGGGGCTGTATCATGTTGTATCATGGTGGTCTTTGCACGTGGGGTTCAGGTGTACATGGTCGACCAGTGTGTCGATCGTACAAGTCAGACACGTCCCTCATCACTGCCTGGCGTGGTAGTATCATGTTGTATCACCCATAGTGTGAGATCATCCCCCTAATTAGGCCCTGGAGAAGCCCTGAAACACCTTTTAAGACCCTCGAATAGATAGAAAAGAAGATCCACACTTAGAATGTACTGGAAACCGTTTCTATCTATTTGAGGACCACTATAGAACCTGTCCGGACAAAAACATGGCACGTGGCGACTTCGACATCAGACCTTCACGAGAAAGTCTTGCCATGTCTTGTCAGCATAGCGCAAGGCCAGTGAAGTGTCGACATGTTTGTACGTTTGAATATGAGTAAGATTGAGTAAGTACAGTAGGTCAGAAGGTCTAAGGTCTCCTTCTTAACCTGATTCCAAACTCCAACCCCCACCATTTGGACTCAGAGACCCTCCCAGTCCAAGCGTTCTCGAACGCGCAAAAACCTGCCCAGCCCGGTCCGCAAGTCACCTGAACCGTTTCACGGGACCAGTTGCCACTCACTCAAACCGTCTCGTCCCAGTCGCCCGAGTCGTCCCAGTCGCCCCCAGTCAAGCCATGCTCCGCAGGCACCGTCGCCGCCGCGCAGTCGGAAGCGGCGTTGGTCGGTCCTCTTGAAGAAGACGGCGCCTGCTTGCACCGCCGAGGCACTCGGAAGCTCCAGGGCCCCCTGGGCAGACGCGGTGCCCACTTGGCGGTGCCCTTTTCGTTTCGCCCGAACCACGGCAGGGAGCCATGGAAGTGTTGGCGAACCAATTGGTGTTGATGGAAAGAGTTCTTAAGAGCCCGAAGAACTCGGAGTGTTCGGGTGACGTACTCGCTCTTCATCGTTTTGCATGGAAGAACCCAGAACCCGCTCCCTTCACTGCGATTGCTTCGCGCGGAGGAACCACGGCGTCGACGGCCTCCTCGAGCTGTGCATGACCTCCATCCTCACTGGCATCATCCATGCTGCTGCGCGGTGTCGGAGGCGTGTCCGGATCCTGGCGGATGTGTTGGAACACCGCGAAGTTCGATCTTAAGAAGAGAAGATGCATCGAAAGCCTGGTGCCAAGAAACAGCAAAATTAAATAGAATTAAAGAAAACCTTAATATCATTTGAAGGAGTCATCAATATCTTCATAGTCATCTTCATCATCTTCTTCTTCCTCTTGATCTTCTTCCCTATTGATATTCCTCTTCTTATTATTATTCCTTTTCTTCTTCTTCTTCCTCTTCTTCTTCTTCTTCTTCTTCTTCTTCTTGATCTTCTTCCTCTTCTTCTTCTTCTTCTTGATCTTCTTCCCCTTCCTCTTCTTCTTCTTCTTCTTCTTGATGATATTATGTTTATTCTTCTTCTTCTTCTTCTTCTAGCGTAGCTGCAAAAAAATGCAACAAACGCTATGAGGAAACCTTTCTAACACACCAACAACGACTCAAACAGGAGGGCAGCGCAGAAAGGTCTCCCTGAGACATATCGCTGATCCTCAGCGTCGTTCGAAGTGGTCAAATCACCCATCCTTTCAGAACTTCATGGCTTGGTTCTCCATAACCTTCACAGTGGTGTTGCACCGACCCTTGCAACTAGCGGGTGTTCACACCACGTGAAGGTTGGTGGAGCGTGATGAAACAACATCTATAAAGCCCTGCAGCACACCCACGGCCATGATTTCGGGCCTACTTTAAGACTTGAAGGGGCTTCCTTCGTTCGCTTCCACGGCCAAATCCTGCGCACCGCGCCCGTCCACGCGCTCGATCTGGGGCGACCCGAGCATTCGCTGGAAGGTGGGTGCATCCAGGCCAGAATCGGTGTCCGCTTGGGGCACCGCATGGCGAATCCTGCGTGTGCCGCGCGCGTGTGTGCGTGCAGACGCGCGCGTCTGCAGACGCGCGGCGCGCACGCGTGAGTTCTGATGGCGCCAGTGCCAGGTGAAAGCCAGGAGCATCCGGACTGGAAATAGTTCATACGTGGGTCATGCATGGGGTTAAATGATGTTAAATGTATCCCTAGGGATCCAGTCGTACCTTCTCAGGTTCGGTACGACTGGACCCTCCAAACCTACAGAACAGTGTTTCCGATCACCTTCTCAGAGGGTGGCAGTGGATTTTTAGGGTATGGACCTGGATCTTCCAACTATTAACATCTCTGCCTTACTCTCTGCCGAACTTGGGCATTTTATAGATGAAAAAGCAAACATGTTGCGGTCTATGCTGGTGGATGCATGACTCCCAGGTGGGGTACTTCGTCCCAGTCCCGGAACTTCTGACGTCGCTTCAGATGCTTGGGCATGTTCCGCTGAACAACACGGCCCGATGTTTCGAGTATGTGTTTTTTGCAGGTGCAAAGGAGGTCCCTGGCTTCAGTTTGACCCAGTAAAAGAAAGATTTCATGTGGTCGTGGGTAGTCTAAAAATGTCTAAATCCTTAAGTACAACAATGGATCTCGGGTGAAACCCATTCAATCAATGGTGCTTCGAATTCGAGGAGGTACCATCGGATGGGTCCCTGCCCATTGCCGGGCTCCAACCATATATCTCCAGGTTCGGTGGCCCCAACACCCCCGTGGCACTCACCCGCCCCGGGGGCGGCCGGGGGCGGCCTGCCAGGTACATCTGGAATGCCAGCTCCACACACCATGATCATGCCGATGGAATAGGACCTGGCGCCAGGCACCGCTCACGCAAAAGAGGGCACCCAGCCACCAGGAGCCCAGCCGGGGCCCAGTTCACCGAAACACACAACAAGAATTCAAGGTAAGTATTAAGGTGACAAGGCCAGGACTTGATGCACAAAACCTCCTGCAAGCTGGCGCCAGGTGAGCCCATTGCCATGGCTATTGATGCAGCTCACCTGCAACAATCGCTCGCATTTGGAGAAGCTCATGGACCGTAGAAGGTCGGGAGTCGGGACCCATTGAGGACTTTGTAGGAAGATGACTTGGGTGGTTGAGAAGATGACTGGGGTGGTGGTTTCAGAATGTGATGTGTCAAAATGATGCCATGTGGCAGACATGCAATGAGCTCGCTCGCAAGGCTCATTCCGTTTAATCCTGGTCGGGCTCATTCCGTCACCCCTTGTCTTTGGTTTTACGATGTTTGATGTTGTCACCCCACTGCAGGATCCGCTGGCGGATCCAGATCTGGATCTCCTCGTCTCCACCGCCTGAACCTCGTACTCCGTGCCAGGTGCTAGCCCAGTCAAGGTTGCCTGGCGAAGGAGATGTGTGAGCGAGATTGAGACCCAATGAATGGGATCGGGTCGGTGGTCTTGCTCTTCCTGGTGGTCTTTTGCAGTGTCTGCGTCCCTCTTCTCATATCTCTTCTCGTTTCTGTGCAAAGATGAATGCTCAAAAGTCCCAACAGAGGTGGGTCAGAACCCTACTATAGACTATCCCATATAGGTACCCCAGGTGACGGGTCCCCATAAGGTCGCTTCACCTCTACCTGTGCGATGGGTCGTCCCGTCCCAAGACCGCGATCCGATGCCGGAAAGAATCTGCAGCAGCAGCAGCGCCCTTAAACCCCAAAACAGACTTGCCCCACCTTGTCCCCAGCCCAGCCCTCATCTCAACACAGACTCACCAAAGCTCCGAAGCTATGCCGTGCTATGCCTTTTTTTGTATGCCTGCTTGAGAACCAAGTTGTGACCAAATCATTTGCCCGTTTACGGGCTCCGAACGACCCATATCCTCAGGTGACCGGTGGGCACAAATACCCCCCTGGCACTCACTCACCCACCCCGGTAGGCCCCATCTTCGACAAGGAGGTAGCTGGTTGAATCCTTCCCGTTCCTCTGTTCATGCCGGCCCACACCGATCCAATTTCCGTACGTACTCTGCCTCCCAACTTCCTCCGTACTCCTCGGGGAGCGCTCGCTCCACCGTGTCCGGCACATCGACGGTGACACCACCCTCCTCGTCCTGGCGGAGCAGCGACTCTTTTTGCACCCTAAGAATCCGAGCTCGGGCTCTCCATGGCAGGGGGTCGGACCTTCTCCACCGAAACGCAGGGGTCTGGACCCGGTTCCCAAACCCTATGTGTTTGAGGGTCCGGATTCTTAGGGCAGGTTATAGTGGGCTATGGACTATGGCATGGGTTTCTTCCAAAGCACAAAACGCTGTCCCAACCAGAAACAGTTCTGGTTGTTCCACATGCACAGGGCGCTGCAAGTGAGATCCTTGACATAGCAACGTGTGGTTGTGACTGTGGAAACATCCATCAATGTCTGCTTGGGACCGGGTTTCCAGGTTACAAAGGGAACAAGAATGTCCCGATCACTTGGCAATGTGGTGGATCAAGAGCCTATCCAACTGTCCCTGCATATGCTGTTGTTAAAATCTGTTTTACGCAGAAGGCAGGTTGGTGAGAAACAGCATTGCTGGGGACACTCCAACTTCAGAATGTCCCTCATCAGGCTCAGCGGCTGAACCCAACCGGCAGCAGTGATGGGTAATTAGTCTGGAGTCCTAAGTCTTGTTCCAGTTCTTGGCATCCACATGTCAAGCCATGGTCAAATGACCAGCTGTTCGCAAGAAAACTTGCTGTCAGCTAAGTGATTGTGGGACCCTCCAACACTTGACATCAAATCATCCTCCATCATACACTTCAAACATTACACCGCTGCTAAACCACTCACCCAAAGTCACCGAATTGAGCTAAACCATGCGTTCACCACTCAGTGCACCCCATCATCCACCCCATCATCCCCACATCAACCTGACACAGTCGATTGCTCACCTGGACTCACCTGGCTCCGGCTCTCCACACGCCACCGGGCCATCTCGCGCCTCTTTACTCTGCGCAGAGACCGGCACCGTGACCTGCGCAGCGTGACCGGCACCGGTCACAGCCATCGGCCACCGCGTTCCACACGGCGTTCGTTCGTCCGTGCATCATGGAGTTTGGGGAGTCTGGGAGCCGACTCTTCAAAGAAGAATCGCTGTCACTTCAGTCGTTTTGGCCAACTGATATCCATACCCTGAATAGAGTTGGGAGACGAAGCCATCTGGCTCCGAACGCTTTTTCACTTACTCAGCTATATAGTCTTATATAGTACTTATCGTGTGGGTCACCCAAATCCGCTTCCACCAATAGGACGATTCTCCCGAACTGCGGACGCCCTTGAACAACGACGTGTTTCTTCTCCTCGTTGCCCTGCTCGCGCCGCGCCTTGCCGCCCAGGGCCACATGTCGTTCCATCGGACCCGAGAGACGAAACCAGGCCACCTGGAGCTCGACGGAACGGAGCCGATTGTTCATCGTAATTGTTTAAAACAATACCCCTGGGAGTCCAAGCCTATTTTTAAAACGGTCTTTAGGTGATCCGAAAAGGAACTTCCTTTACTTATGAATGAAGGAATGGTAGGAACGTACCGCCTCCGCGCGTTCGTCGGGACCCGGTCCAGTCCGGTGGGCGCTCGACGGATCGGATCGGATCGTGTCGGATCGGATCCGTTCTGCTGCGATCGGTCCTTCTATACGAACGGTCCGTTCGGTCCGTTCGGTCGGCAGACTAGGTCTGTTGTATAGAGTTGGAAGATCCAGGTTTTCCACCCCTGGATAGTAGCCTATGGTTTGGTGATGGATCGTGAGTCCCAGGTGACCTTCAATCAATCAATGGAACTTCTGGCTAAGCTCATGGGTAAGCGTAAGCTCATTCAATTCGAACACTTCTGGTGCGCTCGAGTGGGATTTATGGAGTAAAATCTGGGTCTACATGATCTTGAGGAAAAACATATATCCAGGAGATATTATACTCCGATGAACATATCGCATGGAAGTGGAGCTTCCACTCTTTGTGGGCCAGGAGCTTCTCGTCTTCCCCGGTCAGGCCCAGACCGTTCACTTCCATGTTAAATGAGATCAGGTTAAATGCGTCAGAGCTAGGTCATAGTCTCTCATGGCTATGTTTGGTAAATTCTGCCTCGATGGGGTCAGAGTTCTGTCGAGCAGCACGGGTAGCCATGCCAATGTATATTGCATGCAAACCGAGTCACGGGCGAATCGCCCTCACATATGCAAAAGGACAAAGAGTCATCGGCATCGGTCATTTCGGTCTGACCGTCACGGTTCAAGATGATGCAAACCCCATAGGTAGGGTCCAGGAGCTCCTTCTTGGACTCTATATACTACGGAGCTGGTAAGTCCATATCAATCCATCAATCCTATAAGCGTATGTGAAGACCCCCCTAGCCGTCCATCCAAAACTGGTGTAATATATGGTCTTTGGCGAACAACCATTATTTAACAAAACCAAGTCCACCATTGTTCATGGTCTTGGAAGGCTAGGGAAGATGATGCAAAACTCATCTAAGCTAACCATCCGAGAATGGAATGATCCTGATCATAGCACCATCTCCCACCCAACAACGTGTTCCGTAGAATTCTGCTGGGAGGGACTTGGCCGCGCCCCGACTGGTGCCAGTTCAGCGGGACCAGGGATGTGAGGTACCAATCTACGTGGTCGAAAACAACGAAATAAGCAAAGAAAACAAAAACTTATGAGTCAGTGGGTTCAATGTCCCAAGTAAATGGTTGAAGCATCAGCATCTCTGAAACCACCACTTCAGAACATGCAGCACATGCGTCCAGTTCCAATCCGTCCAAACCAGCCGTCTCCATTGCCCAAGACGACACGTGCCGTCGCACGCGCCTCTGCTTGTGTGATGCGGTCGCCATTGTCATACCTTAGAAGATTCCAACATCCAATCGCACAGACTCCATGCATGGCTCATTCTCCCCCAGACAGGGGCTCCGTTCGGCCCCCTTTTTCCAAGATGGGCCTACCAGGGTTGGGTGAGTTTGGGGGGTCTAACGGTCGAACCACCGGTCAGCCGGTCACGAATACGGGTCGTTCGCCCCTGAAGAGTCCCAGGGAGTCCCAGTCGGACACAGGAGCTCGGTTTCTTCAGACTCAGAAAGAGTGAAAGCTTCGGTGGTGAGAAGATCGTCGCACTGGACTTCCATACAATGACCAGCACCGACGGCCAACAGGTCACCAATTGAAACCTGTTAGTTAGGGCCCTTCCCAACCCTCCATTTCGGAGACCTGTTGGAACCGGTCTCGTCTCGTCTGCTTCTCTCATCGACATGGCGTGCGTTCGGTGCTGCTTGCGTTTCCTGAGCATGCTTAAGCGCCCGACGGCAAGGAGAAGCCGACGTGCAAGGAGTCTTTCGTCGCCTCGAGCAGGCCCGACGTGCAGGGAGGGACACAGGAAAGCAAACTCTTTGGCTTTGAGAAAAAGAACATAAAACAACATGCCGACTCTTGGATTATAGATCTTCCAACTCTATGCAAAATGTCTGCCTTTTCATCTATAGAACCAGCCAAGTTCGGCATAAATTTATGAGAGTCTAACCTTTTTGGTCAGTTTGGGATGCACTGGCAGTCTTCCAAATACTGTACGCCAAAGATGCCGAACCCACTGCCGAACCCTAACCATGCCGAGCTGTGGTACGGTGTGTATTTAACCTAACCATCTGAACCTTGCGCAAGCTGGACCTCCAGGTCTTTTTCACGACCCCCCCCAAAATTCAATACCACCCCCAAACATCACCCCCCATCGAACATCGAGATGTCAGGTGCCATGTCATTCGTCACCTCCCGCCTCCAGCATCCACGGCGCCGGGGGTTCCTCCGGAGCCGCCGACCTCGCAAAACGGACCGGAGCCCGAGCAACGGGCCCACCGACCGAGTGAGTGGGGCCGGGGGGTCCCCATGCCGGGCGTTGAGATGGTTCAGACTCCGGCCACCAAGGGGGCTTCAGATGGTTTCATCCATTCCAAGTCACTTCCGGCGAATTCTGGAGCCGATTTGGCGTGGTTTTGCGGTGGGTTCGGACGAGGGTACGATGGTTGTTCAGCAGACCACCTGCATTTCCCAGATCGGTGTTTCGCCACGAACTCGTGCGGTGAACGTGCGAACTCGAACTCGCCCCCCGTCTGAGGTCGCCCGAACGGAGAGACGATGTCGTCCAAGGGCTCCGACCAATCACTCCAGCCCTGGACGAGACGAGACGAGCCGGAGAGCCGGGTGCCGGGGGTTTCCTTAGTGGGCCGAACGGGTGGGTGGGTGGCCTCTGAGGTTCTTCTCTCCAAATGGTGGCCCCAACGTTTGGAAGTAGAACGTGAAACCGAAACACGTGGTTTCAACACGTGAAAACCGAAGCACACAACGTCGACTGTCACACATGTCTCAGACTGCGCCGGAGAGAGCTTCATGGACAAGACGATCTTCACATCCATGTCGCTCATCAACCAACTTTCTTTGGGATCCATCCAGTCGTACCTTCTCCTCCTCAGGTTCTGCGCTACGACCGGACTCTTCAAGCGATAGATATGTGTCGATTTCAATCACCGTACCTGAGGTTCGGTACGACTGAATCCTATAGGGTTTACAACTCTTGAGGAGTATATTGTATCAACAGTTGGATCTTCACAGGACTCCCTTGAGGAGTATATTGACCACTGAAGTCTACGTCGCTCATCGACCAATCTCCCAGACCCCACGACAGAGGGCCTCTACATTGTGTGCCCTGACTGCCACGGCATAGGGCAAGCCACCCAGGAGCCCTTCAAAGATATGATCCTCAGTGGCCGGAAAAAGAGATGCACAAGCAGGATCACTTGGAGGTTTGGTGGCACCACAGACAGTCTGTGTTCGGGTGTCTAATTACATCAAACCGCCACATGTGTGTGGTGACCGTCGAATCCCGAGCGGTGTTCAAGTCGACGCTGTTCGAAAAGGATCTTTCCCGCTCAAAGTTTGGACCCAACTCATTTCGCGGTCGCGGTTTGGACCCGGAAAGGGTCCCAGGGCCAAACTTCAGCAACATGTAGCAGTTGGTTCAGGTCAAGGGTCGCCTCTGGGTTGTATGCCTTGCTGTTCAAGTGGATCTTGAAGACCTGGTAGATTCTGGTAGATCGACCAACAAGAACCCTGAGAACATGTTGGGATTGTTCCATAGTTCCATATATAGATCTTCACTACGTCAAAAAAAGCGCCTGATGGTTGGATCCCAATACTTGTTGGGGTCTGTCTTCGGATCAGTGTCCCACTCATCTTACATCAAACGGCTGTCTTCGTCCAGCACCCCGCACGGTCCAACCATTCGCTTCGAAATCGCGAAGCTTCGCTTTCGCGTTTGGGGAGCTCCCCAAACAGGCGAACTGGCGAGACCAACGGCTTACGAAGTGCCAAAAAGGGAGCTCCCAAATAGATTAAAGTGATCCCCATGCCCAAACACTCCATGTATATGCCATAGGACTGCCGATCAATTGACCCCCTGGCACCACCCCTGGCCTGATTGGCAGTCCGAACTGGCAGTCCCAGACAGGTCGTGTCTCCCCATATGGTCCCCATATGATCGCTTTGTCGGTGAACATCGTCTGGGCTCCCGAACCGGCTCTTTCGGATCGGTGAACTCCTCCACCTGCAGCATCGACGGATTGGCGCGCGCGCGCGCGCGTTCACCCATGCAAGTGTACACCCCAAATTCACGGAGGTCCGAAGACAAAAACCCTCAAGGCCGCCCTAGAAAAACACACCGCAAAAATGGTTCCCGCAACTGTTCGAAGAACACGAGGTTGCGGCCCCACCATCGCAGACCGAGAACCTCTCACGCAGGTGACGGTGCCCGGCCCCCGCTGCGCGGGGCCTTGATGCCATGGAATTCCCTCACGGGCAAGGCATCCAGCAGCTCCTTTTGCTCCTCGCACATCGGCCGAATCGGCGGGTCCACGTGCGGTGTGCAGCGAAATGCAATGGGGTCCGCGCGACCGCGACCGCTCCAATGTGATCCTGGTCGATTGGGGTCCGACCTCCGCGACAAAGGGGTGCCTTCCCTACGTTTCATCTGTCTTGATAGCGGTTCCTGCTTCGCTCCCCACCAACAGGTGTCAAGCTTTCGAAAGAGGAGTCCCTCCGGTTCGCCCGGCCGGCGCTTCTTGTCCTCATCGGTCTCGCACTGGTTCAAATCTTCAATGAGCTGAGGGACTTTGGCCACCTGAGAAGAAAAGGGCATAAATTTTATAGAATAGACCCCCAAATAGATGGAAAAGTGTTCTTCCCCACTAAACATATATTGGACACCGTGCCAGCCACTATCTATTTTGGGATCACTATAACCACATTTTACCGGTGATCGTCAGGTGGCCAAGAGTGTGATATCGCACCTCAGCCAGAGAAGGGTTCAGAAGATCCTCAACAAGGCTGAGCAGCGAAAGTGCACCGTACATCCCGAGCAGCCCACCGTCTATAGCTGATAGCCCTATGGTAGTAAATTCCCAGAAGTCTCGAACTCTTGCAGGAAAAGAAAGGACAACGTGGCAAGAACCTGTGGAAACAGGTCGTAACTCCAGTTTGCCATGTGACAAGGACCCAAATATCACCGAACAACTGCCAAATTCCCCCTGCCACACACAGCACTGCCAATAACCTCTTCGCGACTGCCTCACACAGGACCATGATTCTTCACCATTTTAGTCGATGCTGGGCCCCCTTTTCTGATGCTTTGGGCCTTCCTGTCCAGCAGGTTCCAGCCATCGTGTCTCCACTTAGCAAGAGAGGTTAAGTGACCCTTATAGGACCCACCGGGGTGCCTATGGGATATTCGAACCTAGGGATCTGACCCACCTCTGTTGGTATGCCTTCCTTCGTCCAAGCTTTCCACCTGAGCTTGGTCCGCCAGGAAGACCTCGTACTTGTCGATCGCACAGCCTCGTGGCCGGAGGTCATGTCATGCTTCCCGCCGATCGTTTCGGATCAAGTTCAGGGATGACGGAGCTATCCAAACGGCCGGAGGATTGAGCATTGGAATCTCGCAGGCGAAATGGATTGCACCCCCTGGACCAAGGGGGTTATAGGACTTCTGGGACTCCATGTTCCGAAGCTGGCGAAGGTCACTCAGAGGTCTCCCCATGGTCTCCCTATATGGTGCTACACACGCATGTCACACCCACCTGGCAGATGATGGCTTCATGTGGCTTCATTGGGACCATGGCACCCGAAAACCTCACGGTTTGCCCCACCAAACATGAACCGATCTTCTCTCAAATCAGAGGTCCAAGCGAACCCAACATCCTTTCGTTGGAAGAGGTATTGGACTCGCAGGCGAATCCCAACAACTCCGAAGAGGTTTGGCTGAGTCTACACACCATGGCTGTCTGGCAGGTTCCATCGGAAGACGAGCTGTTCCTGGAGGAGGACGATCACACGAAACATGGGCCGCGACATGGTGCAACCGGTGATACCCCTAAGAGCCCGAGCACGGATTCTCAGGGACACTTCTTTTTCAGAAAGAATGCCTATACAGGTGAGTGAGTTGGACCTTACCCAAACCCATGGGACTGCCATATATATGCTGATCAGTTGAGGTGGTGCCAGGGGGGCAATTGATCGGCATATATGGCAGTCCCATGGAGTGTCTGGATTATGTTACGTTGACATTTGCATTTGCACTTCTCAATGAGGTTTTAAGGACCTGCTGACTGTACCTGGTTTGGACCTGGGTCAGACTGGACCTGTAGGCCTGTAGGCAATGTACAATGCCCAATGCCCTATAGAAGTCCAGGACGATCTGACTTGCCCCTCCTGAGACTTTCAGGAAGTCTTTCGGGGCCGCCCCGAACGGCTCCCCTACTCCGTCTCCGTCTCGCCAGCAACACATGGATCTCATGCGGGGGCAACAGTTCACCAAATGATCCACTTTGGACGCGAATCTCCTGAGGAAACTTGGTGGCTTCTCTGGGGAAGTGTCCAAAAGCTAAGGGCTGACCTGAGCTATAGAGGCCAAAGGAATCCAGGTGAACAGCAAAATGTCTACATTGAGTAAACAAATCCGAGAGCTTCACCCTGCAACCCAACACAGGATCTGGTGCGCGGTGAAACTTATCCTTTTACCACCCCCCACTTCAGATGAGTTTGGACTCGGTGCTGCTCTTTTGGAACCTTCCAAAAAGCTTTGTAAGGACCTTTGCTTCTAAACCCTAGGGATCCAGTCGTACCTTCTCAGGTACGGTGATTGGAGAGACTGTTTGATGTCGGTGCCAGTCGTACCGAACCTGAGAAAGTATTGAATAAGTCGGGGTGGTTGTCCTGGACACCCCAAAGAACAGCCAAGGGGCGCCCTAAATAGACACCCCTTGAGCCTTGGAGGGTCCTGGTTATAGGGAATGTACCACCTCAGGTACTACGTCAGGTACCTCCCCCGTCCTCGGTCCCGTGAGCTTCAAGGCCCTCCACCCCTGCCCCAGCGCTCCATGTCAATATGCTCCAGGATCGGCCGCTTGGGAGGCGCTGGCCTCGCAGGCGTTCGTCCGCGCGGTGTCCATGTGCGGATGAGTTGGTTGGCCCGAAAGCCCGAGGTGGAACATGGTGGAACGGTTGGTCATACCAAACACAGGTTCAGCAAGTCAGAAGCCACTGTGGAGTTCTCTGGGGAAGAAGCCTTCTTGAAGATAGCCAAGCCGCGAAACGGGCCTAACCTGATTCTCGTTGAAAGAGAAGTGCAACCAATCGGAGGTGTTCCCACCCCAGCCAGGCTATTAAATCACTGGTGGGCCAGGAAGCCACTTTTGGATATACCTATCTTCCAACTATGCAAAAGGCAAACATATTTACACAGTTGAAAGATCTATGTGTAGGTGTAGTCTTCCTAGCCAAGCCACAGAGACTTCTTCTACTCATCCCCAAAACCCATCCCCAAACACTCCATGTGACTAGGCATATATATATATATATGCCTACATGAACCCCATTTCAACCAGTTCAACTGATCGGCAAATATGGCAGTGCCTGGCAGTCCCATGGGTGTCTGGGTATGACTAGAAAAACCATGCGAACTGAGAATGGATCTGAATGGGTCATATCTCTTCGAAGGTCCCAATTTCTTCACGTCACCGCTCGCGCCACTGGCCAAAAAGGGACCTGCCTCACCTACTGCTGAAAAAGTGGTCTTCAAAAAGGAAGGTCTACTGCCTATTGCGGACCTTCAGCCCTCTAGTGATCCCTATTTACTGCCTACAGTAAGTGTTGCAGATTCGCCGCTCTCTCTATTTTCGGTCACCAAACCAATGGTCACCAGATAGACATCGGTCCCCAAACCAATCGAGTCGGTCCACGTGGCGAGGAGACCTCTCCCTCCCCACCTGCACGCTCCCGTCATGAAGCCCTCCGAGACCTCACTCCAGAACGACCTCGCAAGGGCCGAGACCTCTTCCGGTGTCCACGGATGGACTGGACCAGTGAAGACCGGACCGGTGAAGACATGGTGGATGGGCGATGAAGGCGTTTTTTTCCAACACAAAGCGGAACTCGGTATAGGTCTTGGCTGTCATCAAGATCTGTCCTTCTTTACCGTCACGTCTGATATCTCCAGAATTCCTCACCATTGATGCAGCCCACGGCCCTTTCCCATGTGACAAGCTTCGGAAGGCCTGGATTTTGAGATGCGATGATCCCCCACCCCTTAAAGCAGGACCCCCCCCCCCCGGTGACATTGACTTATGTCATGGTCGACGTCCCCGGTGAACGGACGGCACCCTCAAAAACACTTCCCGGCTCCGCGTTCCCTCCAGCTCCTCGCTTCCCACCACGGCATCCCTCTGAGCTCGCCGAACCAACCCACACCGTTCTTGATGCGGACCCTAAGCGAAGAACGACCATCTTTTCGCTTCAAACTTGTGGAGCTGGGAAGAGCTGGGTGGGAATTTTCACGCATGGATTTCCTCACTTTTATTTCTACCTGGACTGGACTGTCCTGGCTGGACATCTCCAAGTAGTGGGCTGGGTAGTCCGGTGACCCAAACAGGATGGTCCTGGTAGATGACCCTGAAAGAGGGAGCTTCTCCCTCCATCAACCTGAGGGCCCGAGGCCTGGGGCCTTTCTTTTTGGTTTCTTCCACCGCAAAAAGGTGGTGCTTGGAAAGCAAAAGGTCACTTCTCCATGTCCGAGTTTCATTTCGCAAAAAGCCTCCGCTTCCGCTTCAGCTCTTCCGACCCCGACACCGCGCTCCGCGCGAAATCGTTTGGGACTTGCGTCGGTGCAACCACTCGGTGACGTCACCCGAACCGACGGAAGGGACCGGAGTCGCCTGCGGAAGGGACCGGAAGGTTGGACGGAGCTGAACGACTGGGCTGAACGACTGGGCTGAACGACTGGGCGAATGGCTCTGGACAGTGACGCCTGGAGATCTCTCGGAGAGGGCCAGAAAGCAGAAAGCAGAATGTGTCCCTAGCCAAAACAAGGAGCCCAAATGAAAAGATGCCCCTTGATCCTCGATCACAGATATTTCAGAGTCTTTTCGGAAAAAGACTTACAGTATTTGTAGTGGTCCCCAAATAGATAGAAATGGTTTCCATGTGGGGATGTACGAACTTCTATCTATTTGGGGGTCATGAACTACGTAGTTCATCGTCATGCAGGTCATGCAACCAATTAGAAGACCCAACTCCATCAGATCTTCCTTGTGCACTATCCAGACACACTGCCGCCAACACAAGACATCGGCCAAAGCACTTGAAGTAGTAAGTCGTGGCATACTCAAGGTCTTCCACATGGATCTGTCGCGTGGTCAGGCGAAGACAGGAAGGGTTGCGCAGCTGCGCATCGCAAACACTCCATGTGCCAGCAGTTAGAGGATAAGGGTGCCCATTATCCACTCACTGGATGGGACTAAAAGCATCTAAAAGCCATTCCTTTGGAACTGCTGGTATATGATGATTTACATACCGACATTCACGCATTCGGCTGGTTTCAGGGGTCAATGTAGGAGTGTCTGCCATCAGCACCAAGACACTTGGGCCAGCTTGGTGCAACAGCAGTTCCACAAAAGCAACGATGCGCAAGGGAAGGACATGGACCACAGGTTTATGACCCATACATTCCATGGGACTGGCATATTTACCGATCAGTTGGGGTGGTTTGAGGGGTCAATGTAGGCACATACATGGAGTGTATGTCTTCCCTGGCCCTAGTGTTCAGTAGAAGTTGATGGACATCTACGAGACAAATTCAGCCAAGATACCCCTCTCAAGCTGGAGGAATTCGGAACAACAAACATTTAAACTAAAAACTGGTGCCAGACGTCCCCTGAGCTTGAAGAAGTAGTAGCTCTCTATAGCCAGCTATAGATTGAACCTATATCAGATCCTGCAAAATCCAGACTGCCTCAGAGTGTTTCCTATTTCGTCCTGATCATATCATATATTCCCTCCAAACAGCTGTTTCCAGGTGCTTCCAAACAAGTGGGAAACACCAGGTCTTTGCTCCTGACACCGAGCTTTTTCTCAGCTCCGAGCTTAAGAAAAAACCCGAAGAACACCAAAAGCACCTGCCCGTTTCGACCCTCGCCGCCCTGGCCTGGCGCTCCTCGAAAGATTTATGCGCCACCTCGTGCGGCACCTGCCGTGTGTTTCAAGCGACTCAGCGACTGTAGCAGTTCCATGGCGCGGTCGGAACTGGAGGAAGCCGTAGAAGTGTTCAGAACATCCACTGGGTGTGACGGGTCACATGAAACTCCTGGCATTTCATTCCATGACCTTCACTGCGTTTGTTCCCCTTTCCGAGGCTACACATCCACTGCACCCGTCTGGCAGCAGCTCGACGTCTCCAGCATCTGGCCGGGTCGAAGCAACTCGAGAACTGCGGCACCTTCGTCAACTCGCGGCAGTCGGGGTCGAGAGAATAGACGAACTCACAGCCTCGCCCCGCGGGTGCGTTCAGCCAGCGGTTCAGCTGTGCTTCCACCGGGCGGTTTGCTTCGGGGTGGGCCCGAAGGTGGAGGTCAAGCAGCCGAAGTGTTCATGTTCAATCTGTTTGAGGGCCTTGCTGCTCAGAGACACATCCAGCAACAGCATGTTGTCGCTCAAGAACCAAAGGGGATGCTAGAGAAAGATACAATGAGTGTCCTGCTTCAGTCTTGAGTCTGGTCTTTTGCCCCTTGGATGAGAGGGTCGGGCGTATCAGTCGTGTTGCCCCCATCTCAAAGCTCCAAGCTCGCCATATAGACGTCCCTTGTAGCATTGTAGCACGTATCACACTGTACCCTGGGAGTCCAGCAAACACGAAGACGAATGCTTTGTCTGGACGAGTGACCCAAGCTTCCCCGAGCGACGAACTGAACTGAGCTTTTCGTCAGATCGTCTCGATCAGCTGGACTTTCACTTGGGCACTCAGCCAGTCCCATTCCCAAAAACCCGTTTCAAACGGTCCGGTCTGACCCAGTTCTACCTATCCTTCATTCCTAACAGGACCTCAGTGATCAGAAGAATCGTCTGTTTCAGCTGCACCTTCTTCTGACTTCCCATGCCACCGGTTCCGTCCTTCCGCCCCCGGGGCGGAAGAAACCACCGGGCGCCCCGAGCTTTCCAGCTCCGATCCACGAAGCCACGGAGCGGTCCAGTGCACCTGCGTCTGCTTGACCGACTCATCCGACTCATCCGCGCGACCGGTGATGTCCTTGGTCTTCCCCATCGTTTACATAGTCCCCAAATTGTTGTGTTAAGTGTTGTGTTTTTGGTTCTCGTTTTGTTATAGTTATACCATGGTATACCCTTGAACCCTTGTTCTTGAGATCCAAACCGCCTCCTCCAAAGCTCCGCCAACCCAACCCCCTCTCTCTCTCTCGGTGCCCGCTCCGTCCAACTCCACCGCGCGTGGCTTCCCAGCAATGGGACACCATAGCCCTCCACTAACCTGGCCTCTAATTCCCGTGGATGAACACCGTCTCATGGTTCAAGACAAACACAAAAGACACACAGAAGTGTGTCAAACCACCTCTTTGCCTACCGGAAACTCGTCTTCCAACCAGGTCATGCTCCACTTCGATCCTCCTTTCTTGATTGGCAAGCACCTGCAACACCTGAAAACCTGCACAACCAGCTTGCCCCTTCGGCCGCCATACAACCGACCCTCTCCGCTTCGCTCCTCCAATGCCGTGGGCCACTGCCAAGGCGAGGTGGGTTTCTCCTTAGGTCCGACGTGTCCGGGACGGTCGGGAGACCGCCACGCCTGGGAGGTCTCCCTGTTGTAAGACATACCGATCGATCTTCCAACTATACAAAAATTTATGCCCTTTAGTGTGTAAAACCAGCCAAGGTCGGCAGAAAATTTGGCATAGTTGGAAGATCTAGGTATACCGATTATAATACATATACCTGGATCTTCCAACTGTGATACATTTCTCCCTTTTCATCCATAAAATCAGCCAAGGTCGGCAGAAATTTGGCATAGGCAGGTCAGATCCAGGTATATGCATGCAATATAAGTTGAGTTCCTTTGGTGGAAGAGCCTTCTTTTTCGAGCCTCTTGGCCGAGATGGTTTCAGACCCCTGCAGAGAGTCTGAGAGCCACGACTGTCTGTCCGCCAATGGGCTGAAAATGAGAAATCATTCCTGGGATGTTCACCACTTTAAGGTCTTTCTCCACAACCAAATGTTTGCTTGCCTCAAAATATCTCAAAATATTCAAACCCTAGATAGCCTTACAAGACCATAAAAAAGAAAGGTTGACCTGGTTTTGTTGTGTAAAAGCAATGAGTGTTCAGGATGCAGGCCATTAAATTCAATGGTGGATGGAATCCTACAGGGCAAAGGCAATCAATCGATAGACGTTGAAGCTGCCCCAAGACTCCAAGATCAGAAACCCCGATCCTTGATATTGCGCAGCCTCCTCAGATTTACAACAAGTTGGAGGCCTTCGATCCTGATCGACTTCGTGCAAAAGTCTCAGACCGCCGTCCGTCCGATCTGCGTCCGTCCGTGACTCTGTGTAGGGTCGACACCGTCGACACCTGAGTCCTCCCACGGGTTGGCTTGGATAGTCTGGCGGTGCAATCTCCGGAGCACTGGCCACGCCCCAGCCCTGACCGTGGCGTCGAAGGCATTTTGGGCGGCCGGGCAGGCGGAGCAGAGGTCGCTTAGCTTGTGAGGTCTTCATCCCCAAAAAAACAACATACTAGGGGTCACATGTCGGGGTGGTGTTTAGTCCCTAAGTGAGTGGATGTTCTGGGCACGCCTCACCTTCATTAAGCACCCCTTTGAAACTCTTGGTACATAGATTGTTTGTTATCTTTAATAACACGGCTCGATTTGGATTCTCCCCCCACCTAGTAACAGCCCAGATGTTCCACTCTAGTCGGGTGGAGGGACAAGCATCAAATCTCACCCGTTTGAGGTTTTTAAATATCTATTGATAATCCATATACCAGCACCTTCCGAACTCGGGGTCACCTGGCTGGTTTCGCCCCAGCCCACCACTACTAAGGGACCTCCAGAAGCTGGAGACCCCGAAAGAAGGTCCAGGTATATGAAATATCCATGGATATCCATGGTATATTTTTCTGTCCTGGATATCCTCTCCCCGTCCGCATCGACCGGTCTCGGGTGGTGGGCCTTGGCGTCGCCCACCACGGAGGTGGCGCGGACGTAGGCGACGTAGGGAGTGCCCGGGGTCAAGGCCTCCACGGTGCGCCGTCTCTGCGCAGATCCATGCGCCACGGTTGAAAGAGAGAGATGGGTTCGAAGAAAAGGCGTTCACTACATATACCAGGGTTGCCAAAGGGGGTGTGAAGTCTTCATCTATCAAACCGCTCACTGTTCGACGTAGGCCAGCTCAGCAGGATCCAAACCCTAAGAAATGGTCACAGTTTTGGGTTCCAAATTTCTGTCCGACAAGGGCTTTTTGGGTGGCTCTTTTGGGCGGAAACGACTGGTCTTGTGCTTGGGAAAAGCACGTATATAGACACATCTAATTCTAAATCATTCTAAATCATCTAAGATCCGCATGCAGTACTAAACTGGGGAGATTCCCGTGAGCCCCAACAGCTTTAGTCCATACCATGCAGCACCACCCAGTGCTTGGTGCTTCTTGGGATGACGAACAGCGACTAACACATGGGATTCGGGGGTCTATAGACCACCAGACCTGGGTGGTACCTGGTAGGTAGTGTTCCCCTTGCCATGAACCATCATGAACCCGAAAAAGGTCCGACAAGCCAAAACAGCTGCTGGAGTTTTAGTGCGTTCAATCCCCCACAAAAATGTGCTAACACCACCCCCAACATCAAAATCGAATTATACACTCCTGAGAAGAATCATGGAAGTGGAAAGCCACCTGTGCCTAGAGGAAAATGATGGAACATGGGCTTCGGGGGGCCATCTTCCTCCATCTTCCACTTCCATGACCCAGACACTCCTGGAGAATGGTAATATACCTATCTTGGGGTGGTTGGAGGGGTCAATGCAGGCAATGACATGTACAGACATGGATGATTCCTGGGCAATATCGACTTCTTCGGAGGGATGGGAGTCTCGATCTCCGATACCTCCGAAACGTCCCAGGGATTGGTTCACACCGGTCCTTAAAAGGACCGCCTGGTCACATCGGCTCGTTTTGTTGGCTTCTTTTTTTGGAGGGGGGGCGCATATTCACGAGAATGTTCACCGCACTCAAAGGAGCTTTTTGTTGATTATGTTCGAGAGTCATTACTGTTGCATTTCCTCCTTCATGGGCACTCCATCCACTGATCTCGAAGCAGTTGGTTGGACCTGGCCTTGTGGAGGTGTCCAACTTCAATGGTTTCACCCATGACCCAGCACCTGGCGAACGGCGAACGAACAGCGAAGTTGCGACAAAAACCCCCGTTTTTGTCAGTGCAATCAAGAGGAGCCCCAAATGGCCGTGTCATCTTTATAGGTGCTGGATCGATAAAGCATGTCATCTCCTGGCACCTTGGTGATTTATATACTGGTGCTGGAACTCGGAGAAAATAGGTCAGGGCTCTTCACAGAGGTCACCTCCTTCCAATCCAATTCACAGAAAGCTACTGCGCCCCTCCCATGCAACTGCTGGAACGATGTGTTCTTTCAGTCTTCTTCTGGCAAACATCATTGTTTCAGGATCCAAACAGTGAGATTGCTTGCATAATTGCTGGATCTAGCAAAGGGCCTATACGCAGCCAGCGACAGAGACCTACAAGTAGGTGCTGTGGGAACCAATGTCTATTCTTCCAGGATCCATTGATGTTAGATCCTCCTGGCCTGATTGAATTGTTTCGACCCGACCACGTGGTTTCTATTACACACCGAACTGGTCACCAGGAAACATCAACGTCGAGTCGGGTTTATGTGCCAGTGTTGTGCGACCTGGTCCAGTTTCTGTACGAAAGGTCCGGTGTGCAGCACCTGCTGTCCTGTTTACCGGTTGTCCTTCTCCTTCTCCAACACCGGCCGTTGCCCGAAAACACACCGGAGACCTGGCCTATCCGGTGGGCATTCCTCGGAGATGGCGCGTGGTTGGTGGAGACGACATGGGGCGATAGACCCTCCAGCCACGTCGCCCAAGTTTAGGACCGATCAAGTTAGAACCCACGAATGGAAAGGTACTCTACCACTTGACCACTGCACGATAATTCTATTCCTTCCTCAAGCGATGCATGAAACCAAGAAAAGCATAGAAAAGCATCATGCATAAATACCAGGGATCACATGTCGGGTGTTTCTTTGTCTCTAAGTGAGTGCACTTAGGAGGGTCCAGGTACGTATATTGAAATGGGTCACCCATCGGATCGCGGATCGCTTCTCTCGCTGGGCTCAGCATCGAACAATCGTGAACTCTTGTGGTTCTTCTTCCGAGGCAGGTGGTGGAGGAACTCTCCCACTGGCGAGAATGGCCTTCACAACTGCCGCTGGCCATCGGAAACGGCGGGAGATGGGAACACATGGAACCACGACAGAGAGAGGACACATCTCAGGAATGCTGCACAGATCATAAAGGTACGCAGTAAGAAACTGAGAAAGCTAACAATAGGCTAAACATGAATAAAAGCCAGAGTAGGCTAACCATGAATTACAAAGTCCCATCCCAACCGTCCCAACCTGCTTTGGATCCCCTCGCCCGTTGATGGGAGCTTGGAACTCCATCCGACCAGCGCCTCTCCCATTTCTCCGCCGCACTAGGGGCCCTAAAAGGGAACACAATGGATGGTCTGAGAATTCCTGATGAATAAAACCCCCCTCAGGTAGGAGACTCAGCTGCATACATGGATGTTTGTTGAATTCCTGATCAATGAACCGCCTCATATAGAAAGAGTATGAAGAGCTTGTGCCATCCACATATATGAAAAGCTTGGTGACCCCAAGCTAACGCGCTCGTTCGCGCTTGTGGGCGGCCTCTCGGTCCTCTTCGGTGTCTACCCGGATCAACCTCCGCCGAGGTCCGGGGTCGGCCCGGCCGAACGAGGTCCGGACACGTGGACGTCGCTCACTGAGGCGTGTGGGACAAAAGGACGAAAAAGGACACTTTCTAGGGATCCGCTTCTTAAAGAAAGATGTAAAAAGGCTTTTGCTTGAGGTGTCCTTCTGGAGATTCCGGTGCGATTCACAAGAGTTGCTTCAGGTTGAGCATCTGACTTCAGCTTGAAGTACCTCAAGGCGGTGTGTTTTGTGCTGCAGTAACCCTCAACTCAAACTGCCAAAGCGACTCGAGAACTCCAAGTGCTGGCTATGTCGTGTGCCGCTCTCATGTGACGCGCACAAGATTGGCCGCCCCATCATATCTGGACATATCCATGTAGCCTTCAATGAATACAACCTCAGCACAAAGCCGTCTTGGGACAGAAGTTGATCAAATCATGCGAGGTGATTCATGAAGTGTTGCAAGAAAGAAAGAAACACCGTCTTCGAAAAGAGCAGCAGGAATCTCCAACACTTGGTTTTGGGCACAGTTTATTGAAAACTCAGGCTGATCATTTTTCTCCCAGCGCCGTTCCACCCTGGCCGCGGCATGCCGCGGCATGCCCCGTTCATCCGAATCTATGTTCCAGACCGGTGGTCTTCAGCCTCTGTCCTGGCGTCTCGTCATGGAAGGAGGTCACCCGGGGTCGTCTTCCACGGATATATCTCCGCGCGTGGTGGAGGAGCTTCGCATTGGTTTTCAGGCGTCTGCGACGCTGATATATGCAGCCCTTGAACAGCATCTGAACAGCCAACGAGTCAAAGCACACAGCCGCATAATTTGATGGAAGGAGCAAAGCACCTTCAGAAACCGCAGCATGCCATGCTGCTTGTGAACCAGAAACTGCACAAGTCTATGCTACAAGTCGAGCTGATCCTGGTGGTTCCCTTGTAACCCCAACTGCAGCACCCCAGGATCTCAAAACCCCCGGGATGCCTTTCGAGAATCGGAGCAATCTCCATTTCTGCCGGGTTGTCCGGCTGAGAAGACAAGTCCTGCCAGGCCGCCAAGTTTCGGTGCGAACGAGGGCCACAGACGGCCGCGAGACCAGCGGGCCGACTTGAAGCATGATGTCCGTCACCCAAACGCTGGACCCGAATTCTCCGGAGGGGTCATGGGGTCTCAAATCCCTATGGTTTTGAGGGACCGGACGGGCCTGCCACATGAATTCAGATCCAGAATTCCAGGACCCGTGCAACGAGGAAGTGATGGAACACCGGATCCCAGAATCGAACCGATTCTGCCAGCCTTAGGGCAAACGTCCCTACAGAGGTTGAATGACCTTATAGGACCCTACAGGGGTACCTATAGGATAGTCTATAGGGTTCTTCAACCTCTGCTGGGCTCCTTTTGAATTTGACTGAACAACCAGGCCCCAAGACTTTCGCGGGCGCGGCCGAAGGGCGCCTCGATGTCTGCATCCAGCGGGAGCCGCGACCAGCCCTTGGAACCGGACTGGCTTGGAAGGAGAGGAAGTCCCAGGCCCAAAGATGTTGCAATTCCCAGACACGACCCATGGCACTGCCATAGGACTGCCGATCAATTGACCCCCAAAATACCAACCCAACTGATCGGCATATCATATCATGGCAGTCCCAGACAGGTCGTGTCTGGGAATTGGTCTCTTTCCACCTGTTGGGCTGGTCCCGGAAAAACCGCACCGTTTGAACTTCCGATGGTCCAGAGATGTCGGGAGATCACAGCAATCATGCCCTCTGGCCATGGGTCAAAGCTTAAGACCTTTGGGCTTCTGCAAGGTTTCTGCAAGGTCCCTGACAGTCCCAGCTCAACATGAGGGACTGACTTCTCATACCATATTACACCTGCCAACACTCCATGAATGTATGGAACGATGGCAGGGCAGTCCCATGGATTGTCGGAACACCCAGACGCTCCCTGAGTTCACAGCCCTACTTCCGGTCCCGAACAAGACTATATAGGCATTGCTTCGACCCTGGACTCCTCCATGTGAGGGTAGCGTCTGGGTACCGACTTCGCAGGCGTTCCAGTCGCCACCCGTCGTGTCGCCTCCTTTCCCATCGCCGCTCTCGCTGGGCTTCTGCACGCCATGCCCGGCATCCGTCCACGCACGCACGATGGGCACCGCGGCGTCCCCCGGATGGAGACCCTGAGCACCGGAGCACCGTCCGGACTCCCAAACGGTGGAGACACCGGTGGGAGCGAGTGAAGACCTCGACCCGCGGGTTTGAACTCCAACGCCACCGGTGTTTTGGTTCGATGATGGTTCGGGGCAGTGGGTGTCCCTACAGATGAAATCCCTTGGACCCTCTACTTTGGGGACCGGACCTGAACCAAAGCCTTTCCATTGGCTCCGGCCCAGTTTTTGAGGGTATATAGATTGAAAGAACTGGCTCAAGAATTACAAAGCGGATGTCACATAGAGCCGCATAGAGTAGTAGCTAGTATTTGTTGGAACGGGATGAAGACATGATGAAGACTGTTCATGACGTCTCAATCTAGATTCATCAAGCATCTTCTCGTGACCTCAGATCAACCCAAGTCACAGAATCTGCAGAATCTGAAAGAGAAACATTTGATTAAAAAAAGAAAAACTGAATGATTAACCCACCATCAAATTTGAAAACACACCTTCTATTTGCTTCAAGATGGCCACGAGGCATCACAGGTCTCCTTTCAGCGATCTCGTTTGGTGCCCTTCTCCACGAACGGTCTCGTTCGATGTCTCGTTTGGTTGCAGGCGGTGTCTTCCAAAAAGTTCAACGACAAGATCTCTCAGTGACATGTGCTCTATCGACGTTCACAGCTGCCAGGTGTGCCGCAGCGAGCTAGAAAGACATCAGACCCATCGGGCGTGAAGAAGTGCTTATAATACCAGCACTTCAAAGGGGTCACCAATGGAAGCCCCTACACTACTAAGGGACCTCCTGGCTGGAGACCCATTGAAGGTCCAAGTATATTATGTGTCTGTCCCATGGAATCCCACTGGAAATGTGTTCAGCAAGTTGGATGAAGATGAGAGTGTTGAAGTGGAAAGATGTTCGGATTCCTTCTCCCCAGGTATGGCCCGCATGGCGATCCTTTCTTTGATCAACCCAAACGCGAACTCCTCTTCCAGCCATCCAATTTGATGCCAAAGACTCTGAAAGAAAACGCCTCTCTTCGGCCAAAGACACCTCTATGGGGGGGGAGGGGTCACAAGTTTTAAGGACACCCACCAGGACCACCTCACCCCACCAGTCGACCCATCGATCGCTCGACCGGGCCTCCGCCACGAACTCGAAGCAGTCGGGGCCCAAGATGAAGCGCTGCGAATCCTTCAACAAGACTTCGATGTCCGTGGGCCTCAGCTACCCATCCGGACGCGACGCGCGA